TTTTCCAGTGTTTTTTTTTTTTTTTTCCTATTTTCGACAATACATAATGTTGTTGACATACAGTACCAATCAAAGGGCTGGTAAGATTAAATAAAAAATACAGTAAAGCAGTAATACTGTGAAATATTATTACAATTTAAACTAAATATTTTCTATTTGAATATATTTTAAAATAATTTGTTTCTGTTAAGGCAAAGCTGAATTTTCAGCGTCATTACTTAGGTCTTCAGTGTTCAGTTTGCTGCTCAAGGAACATTTCTTATTTCTATCACTGTTAAAAATAGTTGTGCTGCTTAATATTTTTGTGGAAAACATGATTTTCAAACTTGTTTTTTGAAAGTTAGAAAGTTCAAACGAACATTTTTATCAAAAGTCTAATAGAAAGTTCAAAAGAAGCATTAATTTTTGAAATCGAATAAAATGTTTATAACATTATAAATGTCTTTTCAGTCTTTTGATCAGTTTAATGTGTCCTTGTTAAATATAAGTATTAATTTAAAACATTATAATAATCTTACTGACCTCAAACAGTTGATTGGTAGTGTATTTGTCAGTAAATTTGTTGACAAGACACTGAAGACATGCTGGAGAAACAGCTGCATAGCTAAACGCTGAAACTAATCGACCAAATGTTTTTCAGACAAGTTGAGCTCACGTTGATCCATGGTCTATTATTCTCTTTGCCTGCTGCTTTTCAAGATAAGATAGTCTTTCATCTTCTTTATTCTTAATAATCTTCAATAGTAAGTGTGGTTGTGTTATGTTCATTAGATATCCAATTTGTCTTTATCACAATCTGAAATTATTCTGGTGTGTTTTATGTGAGCCTGAAGAAAGAGTAATTAATTATCTGAGGCACAGTAATATCAAATCTTCCCAGATTGTCATGATTGATTTCTCCGCAGTCTTCTCTAGCAATAAAATAAGCAGAAAGCCTTCCATCGATAAAATTAGAGATCATTTTTGGTTAAATGGTTAAGCCTGTAATTTGGCTTAGTAGTGGATTGCATTACTGATTTTGCTGATGCTTTTTTGTGTTGTTGACCCATCGGCCTTGTTTCGATTCCACACACAAACAGATTCAGATCGCTGCGGTTGGCTGGTGCGGGGGTGGAGTGGAGTGGAGTGGAGATGGCAGGTGACTAGCATGGGTCGTGCCAACTGTACTGTGTTTTGTTTTGAAATGAGAGCCCAGTCTCACATTTTTTATTCCTAATGGTCAGTGGTAATGCTGTTTTTGAGGCTGCCAGGTGCTGGAAAGACCCTTACTGCAATTAAAATTGTCTCATGCTGTCTATGGTTGTAGAAGCCAGGTAGTAAATCATTCTTTCAGACAGAGAGTTTCATGTGGAGGTTAAGATGTTGCAAATAACATGAGTTCATGTGTCAGAAACATCATTTTCTTCATAATACAAGTTAATACAAATGAACTATCTATGGCAGTAAATATCTTATTTTTTTTGTTTTGTTTTTTAAAGGGGTCATATGATGCTTTTTTAAAGATCATTATTTTGTGTATTTGGTGTAACAGAATATGTTGAC